GAGTGAAACATCAAAAGCAGCCTTAATGATTCAATACACACTAGGATGGCTACAACCAAAAAAGAACAAACAAAAACAGAGTAACAAGTGTTAGCAAGGGCATGGAGAAACTGGAACCTTAATACTCTACTGGTGGAAATATAAGATTGGACGTGGGGAAAATGGCACTTTTGTGCACTACTGGTGGAAATATAAAATGGTGCAGCCTCTATAGAAAACAGTATAGCAACTTTTTTTAAAAAGTGAACACAGAATTATCATATGATCCAGAAATTTCACTTGTGGGCATATACCCCTAAGGAATTGAAAGTAGGGTTTTAAACAGATATGTGTACACCCATATTCGTATTTACAGGGGCCAAAAGATGGATACAGTCCGAGGGACTATGGACTATGGACAAATAATGTGGTTTACATACAATGGAATAGTATTTAGTCTTAAAAAGGAATGAAATTTTGACCCATGCAACAACATGGGTGAACCTTAGAGACATTATCCTCAGTGAAATAAGCCAGAAACAAAAGGGCAAATACTGTATGATTCTGCTTAAATGAGGTAGATGGGGTAGTCCGATTCATAGAAAAATGGTAGTTACCAGGAACTGGGATCAAGGGGAAATGAAACGGGGGATTATTATTCAATGGCAGAGAATTCCGCTGTGGAAGATGAAAAAGTTCTGAAGATGGATGGTGGTGATGGTTGCACAACAATGTGAATGTAATTAATGCCAGTGAACTGTACACGTTACGATGGTAACATTGGATGTGTATTTGACCACACTCAAAAAATAGCTGCCTTAAAAACATAAAATATCTTTCAAAATGTCCACTGGATTGAACAATGGCCAATGAGGAGGGCTTTGAGAGCTTTAAAGAAGCTTTAAGGGCAGAGTCAAGCTGGACTAGATTGAACAAGGACAGCAAACACTGGCCATTTCAACAAGTTTGGATAAGGAGGCATAGGTACAGTTTGGATGGCTGCTAATTAAGGAGATTAATGATTCAGGGAGAGTTTTAAGGGTTTTTCTTTTAGTTTGTTTGATAATAACAGGCATGATTGATCATAAGCATGCTTCTCTAAGACAGAGGAGAAGAAAGTCGTAAAACAGGTAAAGAGGATGAGACAGGCCCAAAACTGGATGAACTCCAAGTTGAGTGCAGGATACAGGGGTCCTTCCTCCTGACAGATGTATTGTAATTGTGTTAATGCAGAGTATAACTTCAGAGTAAAGGGCCCCAGGAATAAGTTGTTAAAGAAGGCAATATCCAAAAATTGGAATCAAGTAACAACCCAGGACCAAAAGACAGGGTTCTGAAACCAAAGAGTAACCTGAACAAAGATCAGCAATGCAAAAACAGCAATTCAAGGTTGGAAATGTGTCAGGATGGAAGCAACAGTTTGAGACAAGAGAAGTGAATCACCTGAGTCCTAGACGAGACAGCCTTGGGGTCCTTTCAATGTCTCTTCTCATTTGGTAGTTAGCTCACCCTGTACTGATCAAGACTTTTGGGTTAACACCTGCCTGCACAGCCTCCCCTGGTACTCCAGGTGGGAAATGTGCAGGTATGTTTGCCCGATATTTTTAGTTTTCCAACAAGCTTCAAGGAGTTAGTTTGAAGCCATGTGAATTAAAACTTGAAAATACTTCCCAATAAATACAGAAACTATTATTATAACAGCTTCACAGGAAAAGGTCACAACCAGGCATGGGAAAGATCTAGCCTCCCTGCTGGCTGGAGCTCTCGCTTGGTCTCTCTCTCCATAACCAGTTTTATACTATTTACTGTTTGGTCAGGCCTTGATAATTTGTAACCCTAAGTAAATTCAAATCAGATCCAACTCACACAAGTATGTAGGCGAGCTGAGCTCCAAAGAGTACTGAACATCTGTAGTACTTGACATTCACGCATTTGGCGAGATGTCAATATTTCAGAGCACTCTAAATGTTTTGGTGTGAGAGCTAATGCAGTGTTTGCATTGGTCAACATGAGCAGAAAGCAAAACCTATTTCCCTCAACATCAGCTGCTGTACTCGGTTGCTGATCCTACTTGCCTACAAAGACACTAAGAAACTGGAAAACTGGTAAGTAAGAAAATGCCATCCAATGCAGACTGCAGTTAGAGGGTATTTGTGATGCCAGTGGGAAATGACTTTTTGTGGTCTGGATTTCCTAACATTTTTTTTTAACTCATGAGTGGAGTAACAGTTTTTTGGGTGAAACTTGACTTTTCCAGTTTCAAAGAATAAACTGAAAGTCCACTTAACATTTCCCTGTTAATATCCTTTTTAAATTTGATAAAACATGATTTTCTTCCATTGGGCTTGTATGTTAGGCATTAGGAAACTTCTACTTTAAAAAATGTATAAATCTATCATAGAACTGAGTATGTGGATAGTGAGTTATTAAAAATGAGTATTTGATATGGTGAAGTAAGCCAGTACAACTGGGTTATGATGTATGCAATCTTCAGAGCAAAGGCAGTCCAATAACAAATTCAAACGCCAAAGAAAGAAAACAAAACACAGAAGGTTTGGTGTGAGAGCACAAAAGGTCACAACTTCACAAAACTGAAATATTTCATGCAAGGAAGCCGTGAAGTCTTCTGTAAAATACTGAATGCCTGGGTCACTGGTATGGATTTAATGGTGAGTCACAATTTTTTTTTCCAATGGAAAGAAATAGGAATTAAATGGGTCTCATAGTTCCATTTTAGTTTTTATTAATGTCTTGGGTTTTAATTTTCCTGTCCATGATTCTTAACTTCTGATTTATTCCTCTGAGACTGAACAAAACATTTAAATATCAAATGTTCATAGTGTCTTTAGTTTTACTTTGTGGATGACAAGGACAAGGAATAGAACTCACTAAATTTATTCTATTGCTGATTTTTTCAGAAATTGCATAGTAAAATCAAAAAATCTAGACTAATAGATCATTTTAAAAATTAATTCATGCTTAGAAATCCACTCTAGTTAACTTCTCAGTCAAAAAAAAAAAAAGTGAAGAGCCCCATCTCCTGAAAAAATTGTAAGAACACTGCAATAAGAGAGGGCAGAGATTTGGAGAATAGCTTATCAAACACAGCTCCCCCTGCCCTTGAAAAATTCTAAAAACCACTAAATGTAGCATTTTTTTTAAAAAGTGAGTCTTCTCAACAAATAACTCTTAAATGTAGAATATCTTACCTCGTAAGTCTTCTCTCTAATTCACTTTTATACCTAGCAACTTTCTTGCTAGCATTTCCCACTTAAAGGAAGCAATCTCAAGAGAAAAATGAATATATACAATACATACATCCACACATGTGTGGCCCACTTAATACATGTGTGGCCCACTTAACACAATTACAATGGCTAGACCAGCATTTGCAACTCCTCTTTTACAGGGGAAGATGCTTCATTGCCCTTAGTGTTTCTTCAACACAAAACATTTCACAGGCTGAGAGGGATCAATACCTGAAATTCAAGCCAGCCTGAGAAAGACAAGCCAGAGGAAAATTATGTTTTGAAAAATACTACAAAATCTAGACTTACCTGTGCTTTTTGTCACACTCTCTATGATAGTAATACAAATTTATTTTTAACCATTTGTGTGTAATTTTATTAATAATATTTAAATTTATTAGCATCAAACTTATGAAATTGCCATTTTAGGAGGTAAAAACAGTGAAATATTAGCAATTTTATGATTCAACCTAATAAAAAATAAAGAAGACAGTCTCATAAGGCAAACCTAGAAGTCAAGGTAAGAAGAAAACCACTATATTTTATGCAAATAGTGTATTAATGTATTTTACATAATTTTTCAGTGATAGCAAGATCTATGTCTTCTAATTAACCCTTCCAAGCACTGAACTTCTTTGGGTACAGTTCCCTGTTTTTAAAGCCTTTACACAGACACTCTCATCTCACTAGATGATTTTGGCAACCAGGTAACACTGGGAAAGGCCATCTGTTTCACTGATTAGAAAACCAAGGTCTAGAGAGGTTCAGTGATTCAAACAAGATAACGTTGCTAAAAGGCCAAGGATGACTTAAAGACAAAAAGTCATCTGGCTTCAAATTCACTGCCCTTTCACCTACCTCTCCTTATCTCTCATCTAAGGAAATGACTAGGTCCAATAAATTGTAATTTATATATAAATACAAGTGTGCAGAACTGATTGGCACCTTGACTGGCTGTTTACATAACACTGGCAATGATTGCATTAGTATAAAACAGTCAATATTATTGGGATTCACATTTTTACAGAGGCAATCTGACCTGGTGTAAAAAGGATGTGCTTTGCAGACAAATAACCGAATTTGATGCATTCTGCCATAACCTTGAGCTACATCTTTTATTACTGTTTTTTTTTTTTTCAAATTGGGTTCTTACTTTGTCACCCAGGCTGAAGTACAATGGCATGATTATGGCTCACCACAGCCTCAATCTCCTGAGCTCAGCCAATCCTTCCACCTCAGCTTCCCGAGTAGCTGGTACTACAAGTGTGTGCCATCACACCCGGCTAATTTTTATATTTTTGTAGAGACGAGATCTTCCTACATTGCCCAACTAGTCTCGAACTCTTGTGCTCAAGTGATTCTCCCACCTTGGCCTCCCAAAGTGCTGGGATTACAAGTGTGAGCCACCGTGCTCAGTCTTTTAGTTTTGTTTTTGTTTTTTTTTTTTTGAGTCGCCCAGGCTGGAGTGCAGTGGCACACTCATGGCCACCCCAGCGATGACCTGCTGGGCTCCGGCGATCCTTCCACCTCAGTCTTCCAAGTAGCCAGAACTACAAGCACATGCTACCATGCCCAGCGAATTTTTTATTTATTGTAGAGATCAAGTCTCGCCAAGTTGCCCAAGCTGGTCTCATACCCGTGGGCTCAGGCAATCCACTTGTCTCGGCCTCCCAAAGTGCTGGGATTACAGGCTGAGCCACTAAGCCTGGCCTAGTTTTGTTTTTTAACTTTTTCACCTCTTTGACCCTCTCCTGTCCTACCACCTATAAAACAGCCATAATAAAAACCAAAGAGCTGCTAAAAAACTAAATAGACATTCTAGTACCTGGAATAGCAGCTACTCAATAAAAATGGAATTCCTTTCCAATCCCTGCTAATAACTTATTAGGTTAGAGGTCGTAGTGACAAGAGCAAAACCATAAGGGAAACTGCTTGCATTATAATCTGTGATTCCAGGGGCCAAAAGAGAATTCACAAAAATAAGAGAAAATGAATACTTCTCCTAATTCACCTGCTGTCGCTCCCATAAAAATCTGAGCATCATGCCGGTACACAGACAGTGAGCATCTATCAACACATGGCCACTGAGTACCTATCATCATCAGTGACCAACACTTGAAACAATTAGGCCTCTCCTTCCTGTCCAGAACAATGGATAGCCTGGCATTCAGGATTGGGGCTGTGAGCCCCACGGGTGTTGACCATATACCAAAAAGGTTAGGAGAAAGACACAGGTTATTAACTGCTTGATTCACAGGTTTGGTGGATAACCAAACAAACAGCCATACATAAAAAATAAAAAAAGACGCAGGAAAATGAAATGAAAGATGCAAGGGGGGACATCCCCAAAAATAAACAAACCAGAAAACCCGAAATTTTTGGAGGGTGGGTCCCTTGTAGTACAGGCTTCACCAGATAAGTGTTGTTCTAGAGACCCATCAGCATCAGTGTACCAGCAAGCATTGTTGTGAAAGGCTGCATTCCACTTTGGTGAATTTTCTTTTTTTAGATTATTTCAATGCATTTGCCCATTTCACGATGGGTGATCTACAAACACACCTGCCCACACCACACTGAGTATTCAACAGTTTTTGACCAAAACAGCATGACCCTGGTGCCTTACCTCCCTATACACCCCTCCTCATCACCTTAAGCAACTTCTTTTTTGTTTTCCTGATTTAAAAAGTCTTCAGAGGGAAACGTTTTGCCAATGTGGATAAGGTGAAACAAAAAATAGCAGAAGCACTAAAAAGCATCAAAATTGATGAGTTCAAAAACCGTTAGGGTCATGTTTTGAGCAGTGGAAAAAGCATCTCGATAGGTGTTTTGCATCAGATGGAGAGTATTTGGAAGCTGACTGAAGTTTAAACATGTAAGAATAAATTCCAGAGTGTTTTTGGGTTCCCCCTAGTATGTTACCTACAGAAGTTACAATGACAGACTGGGAAGTTTTATATATGTTTTAGTTTAATTACTCTCCATAAAAGTCTGGAGTTCTTTTTTTGATATTAGCATACAGTTCAATACAATAGACATATGTTAAGGGCTGAAGTGTTAAAACAAGTAAACTAACCTCCTCCACCAAAAAAAAAATCTTATTGGAAAATACAGTTAAAATACATTTTAGACAGGAATTCTCAAATTTTCGGTCTTAGAATCTCTTTCTCTTAAAAATTACCAAGGACTCCAAAGAGCTTTTGTTTGTGTATGTCATATCTATCCATATTTACTATATTAAAAGTTAAGATTGTAAAAGCTCTACAAACTTTAAGTAACATCACATGTTAACACAAATAACATTTTTGTGAAAAATATTTTCAAAAAAAATTTTATGTAGGAAAGTGCCTTATTCTATATCTTTTCATATCTCTAACATCCGGCCTAGAGAAGCCAGTAGGATACTCATATTCACTTCCATGTTCAATCTGTTGCAAAATGTTGTTGTGGTTAAAGTATGTTCAAGAAAATCCAATCTCATGCAGATTAATAACAGCAAAGAAGCAAGCATACCAAAACTCAAAAGAGGTGGTTTCTTAAAGCATGATTGAAATATTGGATCTAGCTGGGCTCGGTGGCTCAGCCTGTAATCCCACGCTTTGGGAGGCTGAGGTGAGTGGATTGCCTGAGCCCGCAGGTTCGAGACCCACCTGGGCAACTTGGCAAGACCTCATCTCTACAATAAATCAAAAAAAACTAGCCAGGCGTGGTAGCGCGTGCCTGTAGTTCCAGCTATGTGGAAGGCTGAGGTGGAAGGATCACCAGAGCCCAGCAGGTCGAGGCTGCAGTGGCCAGGAGCAGCCACTGCACTCCAGTCTGGACGACAGAGTGAGACTCCAACTCAAAAATAAAAAAGAAAA